TCCGTTCTCTTACATCACAGCAAGGCATACTGGTGCATATTTGCCACAAATGGAATTCATGTGAATTCATACCTATTGTTAGAGTAATCAAGCCAGAAAATAATATCGTTGCTCGATGCACGTTGTAAATCGAACGGACGGAACAAAAAAGAATCGTTTAGGATTACAAACTGTGCTGTACGATTCGGTTCCCTGGAAGTTAACATCCGGTTGCATTGTATGTGATACGTTTTTCCTATGAGGAAACTTTGTCTCGTTTCGAATACCTGGGAGTGATGGACCTTCAATCTAAAATAGGATTTACGGTGACAGAGGGAAAAGAAAATGTTACGATATACCGGCAATTCTATTCTACGTCATACGGTGTTTCCAAGGATGTATAAATGGGATTCCTCTCATGTAGGTACACTGGATAACCCGAAAGTTAATGGAATCACATTAACGGTGTTACGTTTTGAAATCCCAGAAACAGTTCCTTCAATGAAACAATAGAAAAGTTCGCAGAACGGTTTGCCTGCGTATCATTCTTCTATTGTCATACCTTCAATTATTTATATACAATTATCATCTTCGATAATTGCGGTGTCTGAAATGTTGGTAAATTTCGAGTTATATAATCCGTTTACACACTATTGTCCATCAGTTTAGTCACCATAAATTTCGTTTTATCGAGTACATTCCTTACGTTAACTTTATGTTCATAGGTGGCATGTATCGTAATAGTTTTTTTTGTTTTTTTTTAAGAGCTAACGTTTAGAAACGCGTAATCGAGAAATCGTAATAAATTTCATCATTAAACACGAATTTCTTACCTGATCAATGAGATTCTTTTGTGAATCAATTATATAAGCCCTATCGTTATCCATAATTTATTTCTAATATTTATAGGTTTGTCCCAGGTAAATTACGTAAATCAGCAACTTTAATCGAGTGACTAGACCATGACTTGTCTAACAGGACAAATTTAGCTTCTCCATATTGTACACATTGTATTACTATTTCACATGAAATTTTTTTTTCGAATTTCATGAATATTTTTTATAGCAGCAAAAGTCTTTTAACTTTCGTAATAGTAAGAATTAACGAGAAATAAAAATGACACTGAAATCTCCTTTTTCCTTATTCTAACCTAGTCAAATTAAATACTAAATTATATTGGAAGATAATTTTTTTATACAGCTAGTTAATTATTTTGCGTGATGAAACATTATTTTTCCATTAGGTAATCTGTAATAAAAAAAAGAATAAATGATTTTAATTGTCGAAGAAGGTAATTTTAGAAGTGTGTACAAGTATACCAAATAATTTAGTTGGTCACGAACGCTTGTAATGATCGTGCAACGGAACTTGTCACGTTGCATGAATTTCATTACAATTACCAGTTTCTGCAATTCCAATTTACCCGCTCGGAGGATGTCAAGATTACAGTGTCAACACGCATTTCCTTTGAATTACGTTAACTTTTGTCGCTTTCCATTTACTTAAATAATACGTGTTAAAAGTATCGTATCATATCCTGGATATAATAAGTTCATTTTATTGCCTAATTTTTTTCTGTTATGAATATATGAAATGATATTTATCATACGTAATGAAGAAAGTTATATGAAATGTGAAATCAAATTATAATATTGCTAACATGTGACGAGTAAGAAGCAACAAGAATAACGTTTCTTACAAGACCATGAACAACATTGCTCTAAGCCTGGTTAGAAAGCGCTCTGTTAAAACGTGAAGTTCATGGAAATGAAGTACGTTGGCTCAAGAGGTAATCACGTGATCTAAGGAATTCTCAATTTCTCGGCCGATACATAAGTAAATCCAACGCACGTGATTCTCTGTAATCTGCGATCGAACCTGCATTGTCTCCGACTGACAATTATTTGCATTCTTTATAAATTCTCGCAAAAAACACGTCAATAGTCTAAGCCCGTTACTCTAGAACTCTTTTCCACACGTTCACACACTCGTTTCCTTTTCTTTCCACCTTTTTTGAATTGCTGGTTAAATTGTGTAACGCGTCTTTCGTGCTGTACCCGTTATTCGCTCTGTGCCAATACCACTAAATACATATCCGTATAGATGGGAGATTCGTCGATAATTTGTTCTTTACTTTGTAGTTTCAGCACGTCTTAATACTTTTTTTCAATGATTACAATATCATCGAAATAATTCATTTTGACCAGTGTTAAATTTATTGAGGTATATTATTTATTATTGTTACATTTTTTTAAAGCTATACACAAATTTATATAATACAGCAACAACAGTAGAAATGCACAAAGTAAATACTATACATTATACACCGTTTTAACAGACATAATTCAATAATTTAAAATTTTTTCAGATGAACAGTGCTCATTATGTAATTAACAGATTGTATGCCAGATTTATATAACGCTACGAAAAGTGATTATTCGATTGCTTCAATTATTCTCCTTCATTGAGCCGTAATGATTGAGTAATACAAATGCTGCAAATAAATATTAGAGATTCTGTCATCTGAGAGAAGAATATTTGGAAAATGTCAGAAGTAAAATTAGTGGTATAGTGTACAAACTATGTAGAACATGTATTTATTCCATTATAGGAATACTGTAATTAATATGAAGTCAATAGAAAACGGGTTGTCATCGGACGAGGTGGCCGAGTGGTTAAGGCGTTGGACTGCTAATCCAATGTGCTCTGCACGCGTGGGTTCGAATCCCATCCTCGTCGATTCGCTTTTTGTTACCTTGTAAAAATGTCCCAATTCGTAAGGCACGTGCAGGTGTGGAGAAAGTTGCTAAAAAAAATTGAGACTGTTTAATGTCCGAGGATCAGGAGTCGTTGAACCTTAGAAAAAAGTAAATTACACAGAAAGAAACTGTTTGTGTGAATTAGAAAACGTAATTATCTTTATAGTATTTCCAATTACAACTGTTAACATTTTACTATAATTCAGTAAAACGTTGTTAAACGAATAAATAAATTTGTTATAGCAGTATGTTTAAAGAATTAAATTTTATTTTAATTAAATGTATGAATTATATGCTTGGTAATACTGTAAAGATATTTTTCCTTATTTATTGAAATTCGTTACACTTTTTCAAACAATATTTAATCTTTTTTATCGTAGCAAACTCCTCATTGTAGCAAAATAGAAATTACTGTAGTATTTTTAACCAATGGAAATTGAAACAAATTTAAGTTTATTTATCATAAATGGGTATTTGACAAAGATTTCTACCTGCCCTTTCTCTTACATATACAAGGTGAGAACGTTTTGTATTTAGAAACAACAAAATGCATCAACAAACTTTGAACATGTGAATAAATCCTTAATATTCACGAAATAGTCAAATCTTTTTTATTTGTTTATAAGTGTATAATGTCCACAAAATGTTATAACCGAATTTATTTGTTAACTTGTTAAATATGCTCTGCGGATACAGGTATTACCGTCAGTCGCTTCTTGGTGTTTTACAATCGATTATGTAATTGTGGAATGCGCTTCGTATTCGATCATGAATTTTTTTTACTAAACGTTCTGGAATGCTTTAAGTTAACTAACATCCATATTTGAATAAACATTTATGATTAGAAACAAAGTAGAATGGACGGAAACGTGTATATATGAATGTAAATACATTCACTAGTGAGTGAATGAATCTCCTTAAGTCTTATGAATACGATATCTTGAAAAACAATCAAATCCATAAATACTTGGCGAAGTAGATTTTTCTTATCGTATTAATGTATTCATGACATAAAGCATTGCGCATTAGCAAAATGGTTAATTTTAAATTATCATACAAGCAATGATCTACTTGTTTGATGAAGCATAACATTGGTAGTTCGTAGAATTATACGTTATTTCCTGTTACTACATTGTAACGCAAATATTATTGACTAAAATATACATAATCTGTTTTTAAACATTAGTCCTTTATTGCGTACGATGCTTGTTAATGAAGAATTAATTGCTACATGTAGATTAAATTAAATATTAATTCATGGTGTCAGTATATGAATATAAAATTATTAATCATAAATTAATTAGAATGAGATTTATTGTTTTCGTAGAAGAGTTATTTACCTTTGTTATAGCATAGAATATGTGTATGGGTGATAAATTGTATACGTGTAAGTAATAATTATGCATAAATGAGTAAAATTAGCACATTAAATGAAAATATTGGCGTAGTACTATCTAATAATGGCTATTCTAATGTTAGTTAATACAAATTTTGAAAATAGAAATAAAAATTTTTATATTTAAAATTTCCTAATAGATATTAAAAAACTAGTATGGTAATGTACGATGCGCGTGTATCGATCGATTACTTCGAGAAATAATGACATTGTATTCTTTTAATGCGTGCTTGTTGAAAAATTTCTTGAGACAATTATTTTGTAAATTGTTGCGAGTGCGGATATCGCATTGATCAAGGCTATCGAATCGATAAAAACTAGTAGGTATGATCATCTATTATAGCGCCCTGTCAAGATTAGATTTATTTGACTATTTAGTAGCGCTTCTAAAATAGTTATCGATTGCCGCTAATTCAAGGTATTTCTGTTTCTAATCTATGTAATAATTAAAATGGCTTTGTCATTTCCTTGAAAACTATTTTAGTATTTTTATGTAAACATATGATATTGATTTCGGATTTTATTTATAACTTTAAAAAAGAAAATGTACCGTTCAGAAATAATGTGAACAGTTATTGTATTATGTAGTAAAAAAAATTATACTTAATAGTTTTGTCGTTAGTGTAGGATGTGTTATTTCATGACAGATGAAGCAATTCTCTTATGTATAATGTTCGTGGCATTGTGTATACACTTTCAAATGATAACACTGCATCAACAATTGTGCTTAATAATCATGTTCTGTTTTATCGACATTACCAGTTCTCTTAGATTACATATTGCAATGGAAGACTTTTGTGTTGAGCGTACGAAGGTACTTAGCTGCTTTGATACAGTATTCTATACAGTATTCTAGTTATGTAAAAATGTCATACAACAGAGGAAATATTGGGGAAACGACACCGCTATTGAGTAAGTTTTACTTTCAAAGTTTCAGTTTATCGGTAATTACATTTACAGTATTATAACTTGATTCATTCTTTGTTTCTTTACGTTTTTCATGTTTCACACAACGGTTATATCATTTTTACTATATCATAGACGCCTTCAATCATGTAGAACCCATGACTCAGTGTTATTATGAAGTTACAACGTATTTCCGTAGACATATGATGATTTAATACCGTGACTAAAGGTCATAATTAATTTAAAAGTATAATAAATGATATGATAATTCATATTTATCTAATAATTGCTGTAATAACATTTTCATATATTATTACCATCCAAATATTTAATAATAGAAAATTGAAGGCATAGCAGTCGTGGCCGAGTGGTTAAGGCGTCTGACTAGAAATCAGATTCCCTCTGGGAGCGTAGGTTCGAGTCCTACCGGCTGCGGTTGGAAAAATTAACTTTTTATTCCTAACATTTACAATTAAAGAATCATTACAAATGAATTAAAGAAATAGTTTAATAAACAATTTAGAAAAATCATTTGGTCACAATGATTTTGCATTTTTATTAATAATGTAAGCTAAAGCATATTTGATTATAAACTGTTTACATAAATCATTAAACATTAATGAATAAAATTATATCTTAGATAAATGTATCTGTACGATATAATATCGTCATGCTTCCGATATTGTGTAATACTATAATGGGTATCTAATCAGAGAAGGGCACTTGCACACTTGAACGTTGTTTACTTTTGTCATGTATGCATTTTTATAACAATTTTTATGTGCAAGTTTGTCGTGCAGAAATTATATAAATAAGACTTTTTGTGAAGCATAAAAGGATACAAAGAATAAACGATGCTACATGTACATAATAAAGAGAAATCAATGTAACATATGTTGTTCCCTTTTTTTTTTTTTGTAAATTTTATAACAGTACGCAAACTTTTATCTTCGGTATGTACGATGAATTTTTAAGTATATGACTGCGTGATAACACACGGAATTTCCGTGCTAAACAACCAATACAAAGATAAAGAATTACTGGAATATTATGTTTTATCTTTTTGTCTGCTTTGCTATGTCTAAAGATAATTACGATGAAATTAATTTGCAATCTTTTCTTTTTATACGAAATACTTATTTCTATTCTCTAGTAAACATAACCTATAGGTACAATAATTAACCTCCTACATAATAAGACATTTGTAGTTTTTGTGTATTGGTGTTGTCAATATACCTTGAAAAGTGAAAATTTTTATATAAGTAATTATAAAATTGTTTATAAAATTTGAAATTATAATATATAAATATAAAACAATTATAGTGCCTTAACTATATCAGTACTTTTCTTATTTTATTCCTCTTATAGTCTTCTGTGGTTATTTTTCTCACGAATATGACCATTATTTCGAAATGTTCTGGAATCATTTAAGTTAGTGTATATACAAAGTATATTCAAAATTTTATCTTTTAAATTCTTTATTACTGGATCAATTATAAAGTAGTTCAATTAACGAATGTAATAGAGTCATAAACGATCTTTAAAAGGTTATTCAAGAAGAAGGCAGGTGCTTAATGATAAATGTACATAATTAAAACATGGTTATAGTTGTCTGTTTGCTGCCAAAGTAAAATATAACATTGAAGAGGATGATTTCGAATTTGAAAAGGCAGTGTATGTAACCGACCGAAGACAATATTCGAAGACAGTATTTACAGTGGAATTTTAAATGTTACACATTTCTGATTGCATAGTATCATGGCTTATATTTTATTACAATGTACGTACCGTAAACATGGTCCAAGACTATTGCCTGTGTTAGTTTAACATTCATTCAACGTCATTTCGAACCTTTAATAAATTCTGATAATTTTATTAACCAATTGACGATCGATGTTTATTTCTAACAAGAATTCTATGTCAATTTTTGTAATTATTGTTAATTATTGTAAATAAATATCCTTCGTTTATTTTATTTATTTTAGAATTGCGTGTCTAAATATTGTTCCAATTCATAAACGTGCCAGATCATATTTGTTCTCTGATAATACGTTTATGTATCGTACTTCATTTTTTATCTAATTTTTTTATTAAATTCTGTTGGTTGGCTTCCCATCGTAACTCTTTCGCCGGTTTCGTTTTGCCCATTTTTACATTTTACAACATCACGTAATTATACTTTCTTTTTGCAACATAACAAAAGGTCATGTAACATTCTGCTTTGCAATTCTATTTTATTGCTCGCAATTCGCAAAAGGGAACTGAAATAGATGTACTAAAATATGTACATAGTGAAAATATCATTGGATATACAGGGTGGGTCAAGTAAAACAAACCACCTAATTATCCTCTTTAGCTACGGTGGTACGAGAAAAAAAAATTCTTATACGTAATATTAAATGGTTTCAAAAGGTGGCTAAAATGGAGGAAACATATTTTCGATGGAAGAAATGGTAAGTTTCACATTTGATTAAAAATTTTAGAGTCCAAGGTTATTTTGAGGTTATATTATTGTGCACGTTTAAATGCACAGAAAAAAATATATATGTACATTCATGTGCAAAAATATAGGTCATCGTTGAAAAAGAAAACAGAAAAACATGCTATTATGTAAAAAAATTTATCTTCCATAATATTTAAAACTATTTAAATTACGTATAAAAATGCTCTCGTACCACCATTAGCTAGGGAAGATAATTATGTGCCCTATTTTACGCAGCTCAACCCTGTATTTTATGTGAAGTTAATCTGTTAAAAAATTAAATTAAAATAAAAAATTCGAAGCGAGTTTCTATACTATGCCTTTTTCTTTTTTCTACGTGAAGAAGTTATCGAGCGTCGCTGATCGAGGGTTACAGCAGGGATTTCGCGAACTTAAAATGCATTTCCACTGTTGTTATTAAATCATGTGATCTGTTATCAAGTGGAATTAGTCAGCTCAACCGATAAAATATTCTGAGGATATCAGAGTATCTCGGCGAATAAAGAAATTTTCTCTGTGGAGTGTCAGTATATATACATGCCGGTTCGAATCAGTGTTATCTACAGAGCCGGGAAAATCACAAGTTAAACGTGCTATCTGTCCGTTGATCTTACATCTGAAAATTTATTCCTCCGAGACTCGAGACTACCGTCGTTTTAATTATAACTGTACTCTATTAAGCGTGCCAGTGTGAAAGCTGTGGACGAACAGTGCAAAAGAGTTCACCGGTGATACTCTTCGTGAGTCACT